TCCCTTCATCTAGATCATTGATAAAGATATTAAACAAGACTTTTCTTTCATGCCTGCCAGATTAGTCAGTAAAGAGGGACTCTCCAGTCAAATGCTATGCATGCATATGATCCAAATGCATGTTTCTGCAGACTTTCCCCCCCCCCCCAGTGTTTCTTTACAAAGTTCAGTTGCCAGGACTGGATGTGTTGTTGTAGGCCATCTGTTTGGCCTTTGCTGACTGTGTACAAATTGCCTTCCCCCAATAACTTCTGCCCAGTCATGGCAGAAGGAGCATGCTGTCATCTGCCTACTGGAACCTTGTGGTTGAGCTTGTGGTTGACCACACAAACTTTGTTGGGTGGGTTTCTCTTTGCTCCAGCTTCCTGCTGCCAGTGTGTGTTTTCTCGCCTTTCCCAGGAGAGCTCTCCACCTGCAAATCCAGAGGCTGTGAAATTCCTGAGGGCATATTCTCGCTGTGGTCCTGGGATCAAGCCGTGCAGGCTGCTCTCCCCAAGGCCTGCCAGAACGAAAGCAGAGGCAGACACAGAGGCTCCAGAGGCACTAGGTGCTGAAACCAAGGTGAGTTGCACACTAACTGCATGCTCCCAGGGGTTTCTGCACTCATCCATCCCAGGAGTTACTGGCACTTACCTGTTGCTCTTGCTTTTCTTCTAAAATGTTGGGTCAGATGTGCTATGTGAACAGGGAGATCTGTAAATACTGTTCCTGGCTGAAGGGACAGAACAGGGCCTTGATCACTGGGGTAGTGAGATTGGCATTCAAGGATTGCCAGTACTACCCTCTGGCTTCATCCTTGCTCATAGTTAAAGAGATCATGAAGTTCCCTTGAAAATCCCACCTCCTTGCTGTAGAAGTGCCAGTGATCTCAAATCTGCTCTTCCTAGGGCTTTGCAGGAGGTCTTGGGGGGTTTGGAGACTGCTCCCACCCTTAATCAAAGGAACTGTGGCTTCTGGACATTAGAGAAAAAATTGAGAAATGGGTGTGCTTTCTAGTAAGGAGAGTTAAATCAGTATTAACAATTAAACCTTTCAGGTAGTCTTGTCTGGGAGGTCCTACACTGCTCTGTGACTCATGTCTTCTTTCCTTGGCTGGCATAGGATTGTTGGTTTGTTGGTTCTCAGATGCCATGGAGTGACTTAATTTAAACAGGACATAAAGTCCTAAGGAGGAAAACCAAGAAAACTTTAAACTCAAACCCAGCAACCTTCTCCCCTGTCTTGACCATCAGAGGAGCTGTGGTAGAGGGTGCTGTCTCTGGGGAAATGCCCCCAAGGACTAGCTAAGTTCCTGCTCTGCCAGGCGCTCTGTTGCGTTTACTGGTCTGGCAAGGGCCCGACCAGTTTTTCCCCCAACCTTCTACCTGCTCTGATGGGCTCAAAATGCAGCAATAGGAGCCACGTGGACTATGTCAAGCCTGGTTCTTCCTGTCCTTCTGGCTTTGAGGGCATGGGGTCTGCTTGGGGACCTCAAAAAGACGGGGTTTAGGTTTTGCCTGGCTTTTGGTGCCAGGCAAGCCATGGCACCCCAGGGGTTTCTGGCACTTACTCTGGCACTGTTTTCCTCTCAAAACATGGCCATAGCTCCTGCCTGTCTCTCCGATTCCTGAGATGGGATGGACTGAGGGTATGCCGGTCCTATTGTAGTACACCTGCAATTCTGTATCTTGTGTGGGTGCCTCTTTGCTTTGTCCCTTGTGAGGACAAGGGCAGCTGCCTCTGTGCATGTGCTGTGACAGCCCCCGCTGCCTCCTTGTCTCTTCTTCCAGATCCAGGTGGAGGGCAAGAGCATTGACTTCATTAAGCACAATGCTTGCAACGCCAAGCGGGCCCCACTGCGGCGCTCCCAGTCCTTGCAGGCGCTGGCTGAGCTGCTGGAACAGAAGCACCGGGAGCAGGAGGAGTACAACGCCAAGCAAAAGGGTCACATCCCCCAGTAGTATGTATGCCCCTGTCTGGTCCACAAGACTTTCTGTAACAAGCCCACTTCCCTTCACCGTGTCCCCCAGCTTCTGTGTAGAAAGACAGCGGCAGGGGCTGGGGACAGAGGCGCTCTCACCGTATGCGAGCAGTGTGATTTACTGTGGCCTGGGGAATAAATGCAATCCCTCCTGGTTTCTTGACTTAACAAGCATCCTGTGGCCTGTGTGACTGGGCTCAGGAAGAATTTTGTCTCCTCCTCCCTTGCTTGCTGTTGTACAATGATGCTGACATGGCGTTGCTTTGTGTGCTCTGAGAAATGTGCTCCTGCCCCTTCATAAGCTGTGCTCTGCAGGACATAGCTTCAATATTAAAAGATCCGGTTTTGGAGAGGCAGATAGCTTTCTCTGCCTCACAAGTGTTCATCCTGCCTTGGACCCGGAGTCTGAGGAACATCCAACTAGTGACTTGCATTTTGGGGTTCTTGACTGGAAAACAGTTCCTGGGTGACCCTGTCCTAGGACTGACCATGGTGTCAGTCCTTCGGCTCTCTGCTGTGCCTGCTGTTCTCTGCCAGCCATCCCAGGCTGTGGGCTGCTTTGTCCAACTTCATTTCATCACTGGCCCACAGATGGTTTTGAAAGGACTCAGTGGCCTGGGCCAGAAGCAAGGAGCAGAAGCCCTTGTCTCCAAGTAGCTTGTGTCAGCCTCAGTGCATCTATTCCAGCAGCCCTTTAGTGCATGTAGAGCGTGTTTGCTAGTCCATGCATGTGGGTTAAACCCCAGTGTATCCCTCCATGGCAAGGGCATGTGCCGGCAGGGTGGGTCTTTGTGGTCCTCAGGCGGTGCCATGGAGACTAGTAGGATTTGAAGGGCTCAATTCCTGGCCTCTGCCTGCATCCCTGGGCAACCCCTCCTGCCAGATGTGCTGACATGTGCCTTCGTTTGCCTTGCCAGCCTGCTGGAGAGGAAGGAGCTGTGGCGCAGACAGATGGAGGAGCGGCTGCAAAACCTGCCAGATCCCGACACGCCACCTGGTCATAGCATGATGCCGGAGGGCCAGCGACTGGAGACCCTTGGCAATCTGAAGCAGAGTAAGAGGAAAAGAAACAGGGATTACAGCTCAGAAAAACAGGTGATCCTAGCCAGGATTAGGGAGAAGAGAGTTCCGGGGCACAGATTCTTGCCACATGGAGAGTTGCCTGGAATAAGGCATGTAGCTGGGATGTGAGCTGTGTGCATGGAAAGAGCAATCTCCTTCAGGTTGGTGGGACCTGCAGGTTACAAGACTGGCTCTCTGGAGCAGGCTTGTCCAGTGGACCTGATGTTACGGTTATTATTGCTCTTAAAATGATAGAAAGATTTTGGTTGGAAGGGACCTTCAGAGGTCTCTAGTCCAACCCTTGGTTCTTCAAAGCTGGAGCAGGTCACTCAGGTCCTCATCCAGCTGAGCTCTGAACAGAAGGATGGGTATTCTAAGTCCTTGTTCCAGTGCTGCCACCATTTTAATGACTGAGGAAGAGGTCATAGCATGAAGAAAATTATGGATTTCTTTGCTTTTCCACTTACACAACTTGTGGGGTGTTTTGGGGGGTTTTTTGGTTTTTTTCACAGGCCAGGAGCAGCTGATAAAGGACCTGGTGATGCTTCCAGTGCACGCAGACACCCTCAGCATGCAGAAGAGGCAGGTAGACCTGGAGAGGAAGCTCTCCCAGATAGAAGAGGCCATCAAAATTTTCTCGAGGCCCAAGGTCTTCATCAAGCTGGACTCCTGAGCCAGTGGGGCTGGGTGTGTTGTGCTGCTCTGTGTGAACGTTCTTCATCGCTGGAAAGGGATGATCATCACTTTGGGAGGGAAGGAGAGGAAGGCAAGTTCAGGTCCCTGAGCCCACACAGGTGTCGATACAGTGTCCAACGTGCAGCTGGCTTCTCTTGGTCACCCTCCACTGCTGTGTCTTGTTCATGGAAAAGGGAGGGAGATGCCCTAATACACTCTCCACTCTTGTGATCTGGAGAACAGTCATCTCTGTGCTTCTGGACTTCTCGGAAATCAGCTCTCTGCTCTGGATCCATGGCATCACCTCTTATTTTCCCATTTTTTCCCACTTCTAGAAACTGATAGGAGGTCTCCTGTGCTGCTGCCTATGGTGTTCCTTGTCCCCCTCTTTCTCCTGAGCTGGGCCATGGTCATGGCTCATTCTGGGCACCTGCAGACTTGTCTGCACAAAAACCTCGTGCTGTATGTCTGCTGTGCATGCCTCAGTCCTGAGCACTGACCCATCCTGCTCACACAGCCAGTGCCTCTACATCCTGCAACCTGCTGACTGGGCTCAGGCTGCTCGGGGAGAGTTTGGGGACAATGAAGAGGCACAGAGCTTCAGTCCTTCCTGCCCAGGGAAGAGCTGGGCTGGCTGCAGGAGGATCTGGCAAGATGTCTGGAGAAGTGTTTGTTGTCTGTGGGGCAGGACGTGCTCCAATAAAGCATTGTTTCCCTCTTTCAGTGTGTGTGCAGTTCCCAGCGGGCTCAGCAGGGCCTGAGGAGTGGTGGTGAGCAGCAGAAACCAGCAGCACTGACGTAGTGCAGGCAGGGCAAGAGCCATGGGTCCTGGTCCCACTTTCTGCAGAAGCCTGAGGTGGCCCAGGGAGGTTCGGTTTCACAGCGCTGGGGTGCTGCAATGTGGTGGTGGACTCAGAGTGGAGAACATGTGAAGTTCTGCCAGATCTCAGTCCACAGGCCAGCAGAACAAGGCTGGGCAGATGCCATCGTGGAGGTGAGCTCACTGCCTCCTTACCTTCAGATGCCACGCAGGGACCTGTGCAGGGATCCTGCTGCGTGAAGCGTAGAAAGATTTAAGCTAGAAGGTATCGCTGGAGGGCTTGGTCTGTCTCCTGCTCAGTACAGGGCCAGCTCCACAGCTTGGGGCCTTGTCCAGCTGAGTTTAGGAAAATCTCCAAGGATGGGGTTGCCACCAGCACCTCACTGGGGCTCTGTCCCTGGGCTGTGCCACCCTCAGAGGGAACACTTTTTCCCCTGAAGTCCCATCAAAATTTCCCTTGTTGCAGCTTATGCGTGTTGCCCTGTCTCCTTTCGCTGTGTGGGGTGGGGATGCTGCGCATGGTTGCCCCAGGCAGGTGCCTTGTTGCACAAGGTTACTCTATCCTGGGCAGAATTTTGCAGGGTAATGTTGCAGAACGGTCCGGCCCTGCCCATAGCACTTAGCATTCTGCGGTGCCCTGGGATGTCGGGGGCCAGTGCAGCTGCCAAGGGCTGGGGAAGCTTTTAGCACTCGAGGGCTGGAGGAGATGAGATCCCAAGTGGAAAATCACCCCACGCTCCCCTGGGGCTGCCCTTGGGGCAGACACCGCAGCTAGGCTGAGCTGGCTGGATGAGAACGGCATTGAGAGCAGCTGGGGACCGCAGGCACCAACCTCTGTGCACCTCCCTGCCCTAAACAAGTCTGGACTAACCAGCCCTGCTGTCTGCTTTGCTCTCTTGCCTGTCTGAGCCCTGGCTGCGTCCCATGAGTGTTGCCCCACTCAGGAGCCACCCTCAACCCTTGCTGCTCTCCCTGTCTGCCCCTGGCAGGACTGGGATGCAGCCCCGCCGCTTTCCTGGGGAGCTGACCGGCTCTGCCACCAGCATGGGTGTGCCCTTGTGCCTGCACCCAGGGCATCCAGCATTGCCCCACGGTAGCCAGGCCAGGGCACCCGGCACCATCTGCTCTCACTTCCCACGGGGCTTAATCCAAGGGCCGTGGGAGAGCCCTTGTGCCACGAAGGGTCTGGCACTGTGCCGGTGCCCTTGCTCCTCCTTGAGCAGCCGTGTCCAGCTTGGGCGAATGGGCTGGAAAAGCACTGCCCTCAGATGCAGCCTGCATGCCAGACTTTGTGCCTGGGCTGCTTTGTCAGCAAACATCGCTGGTGGCCGTGGTAGGTTGGGGCAGAGCTGTTAGCACTGGTGCCACAGGTTGATGCTGCAGGAGGTGTGGCGAGAGGGGGTGAAGACCCATGGGGACAGCCAGCCGCTATCTAGCCAGGCCTGTTCCTAGCCAGGACAGGACAGAAGGATACGAGGAGAAGCTGTCACCATTGTGGGTCCAAGGCCCAGCAACACCTTCCTGCTGGGGTGTTGCTCTGTCCCTCCCTGTGGGCAGGAAGGTGCTGGGCCAGGGCTGGGCCAGGCCAGCAGCAAAGAAAAGGCCAAAGCTCAGTGCTGGGAGAGGGACCGAGGGCACTGGGAGCCCCAGGTAAGCATGAGAGGTGGGAACAGCTCCCCTGAGCTAGGGGCTGGAGGAGGAGGATGGAGCTGCACCACCCCCAGCAGCATTTACTGGGGCTCAGTGACAGCCAGGGTGCTGCTGCCAGCCCGGGTGCCACCCAGCTCCCTGTAGATGTCACCAGGGTGTCCCCTGCATAGTGAGGGCACAGCAGCAGGGAGAAGATGGGAACTGGGGGTCCAGGCAAGGCTCATTGTGTCAGGCCACCATGCCAGGCTTGCTGCCTAAAACAGCCTGGACATGTGCTGTGGGACAGGGATGTGCAGGGGGAGGCATGTGCCCCAGCATCCCTCCAAACACCTCCTCCTCCTCCCTGCAATGGGCCTCACTGGGGTCGCCCAGCGCAACAGCAAAGCTATGACATGCGCCATGGTCAAGGGCACTGCTCCCAGGCACTGCCTTGCGCATGTAGGGCTGGGGTCCCACCCACTGTCCCCCTCCTCCCAGGGGTCCTGCAGAGCTGGTTGCAGGGTTCATGCTGGCCCACATGGGATGGGCCATGGCATGTGGGATGGGGCGATGGGGCTCGTGGGGGACATGCCTGCCCCATCCCATGGCACCAGGGCTGTTCGCTGTCCTGGAGAGGGGGCTGTGCCCTACAGCTGTGGGGGTCCAGCCCCTGCAGTGATGTGAACCAGGGACAAGCAGGGTGCTTCCTAGAAAAGGTTTTACTGTCCATTGCAATATATTAATTGATGATGCATATTTTGATAAAACAATAAAAAAAAACCCCACTTGCTTGGAAGGAGGGGGGTGGGAGGCCAGGGGGCTTGGAGGGGCAGTGCCTGGCGGGAGCAGGTGCTGTGGCACGGCTCCCAGTGACATGGGTGGCAGGACAGGGCAGTGGGCAGCCCTGCTCTGCCCCTGCCCACTAGCCCCATCATCGCCCAGCCTGGCTGTGCAGAAACCTGGCTGGCCACC